ACATGAAATTAGAGTTATTTGGAGAATAAACCCTCTTAAATGTCCCTATACGTACTGGTGTGTGTGTGTGTGTGTAAGTAAAACTTGTTTTTGATATTCTTCATATTCTGTGTGCTGGTCAGTTCACAACAGTGTTAGAAATTAATCTGTTCCAATGAGTTTAAATTGATTTTTACATTTTATGGGCATTTTTACTAGGGATGCACCGATACCACTTTTTCCAGTACTCGGCCGATATCGATACTTTTATTTTTGGTACTTGCCGATACCGAGTACCGATACTGATATTTTTATTGCATTTGTAATTTTTGTTAATATTGGGTACAGAAACAAAAAGGGTATGTATAATGTTAATTGGTTAACTTCATTTATCAAATAGATACAGTCAAACCAAAATTTATTCAGCCACCTTCAACATTTCTCACATTATCACAGTTTATTCACTATAGTTTAGAAAATGGTAATAAAATATAACAAGAACTCAGAGTTACACTGTGTAAGAACAAATTCATCTTGATAATGTTAGATAATTTTGATAGAAAGGTATGTAATAGATTACAATCAACCAAAATAATTCAGACAGCTGTTAGTATGACAGTATTTACACAACTACACAGTAAAACCCCCAGTGTTAAATCAACACTCCCAGTGTTTATATAATCCACACTCAGCGTGTTAAAAAAGTAACACTGAAGCAGTGTTAAAGTTAATGACATAATTAGTATAGTAATTGAGTGATGATTGAGCATTATTGCCTGCTGTCTGCTGTTAACAAACTGAATCAGTGAAAGAAAGAGAAACAAGAACAGAAAAAGAGATCACCTCAGCAGAGGTCAGTGTTTACTTTAGTTGGGCTCTTGACCCTTGACTTATAACACTAGAATGTATTTGGTTGCCATAGCTGTGTGTTTGTTTAGACATGTTAGTTATGGTGAGCAAAAACAAGCCAAGAGAAAGTGTGGTGAAGTGTTTATTTGTTGTGTGTATTTGTTCTGTTGCTTGTATTTAGATTATTTGTTCTAATTTTCTTTATTTTTATTTGACAATAGTCCTCTATTTATCTAAACATAGCACGTACTGAACTGTACCGAAACCATGATACAAACCGAATACATGTGTAACTTGAACCGATCCATCCTTAATATATATATATATATATCAATAGTGGGCCGTCAGGGCTAGCAAAGCCTTTTCTGCTGACCTAAACACTATCAGAAGCAGTGAGTTAGTTTTAATATATTTTTTTTCCAATTAATGTGTATTAAATTATTTCCATTAGTCTATTCTCTTCATTGCATAGCTTTTCTCTTGGTTGCAGTGCTTCCAGTAGTGTATGTTTTTGTTAGAGCTTTTATCCAATCATATTTCAGCAATCATAGGGTCAAAGAAATCTGTCTTGAAGCCTCTTTGTATTATTTGTGTGATTGCTGATTCATTGATATTCATCAGTCCTTTATTTTTTTTCAGCTGTTACTAACATCAGCAGCACTCATACAACAGTCACACCAGAGACAAGCCCAGCTGGTAATGTAGTCTGATATTTCCTCTGTTGATTTGTGTTTTGATTGAATGTTTGTGGATCATTGCAGACATTTTCATTTTCGAGGGCGATGCATGAGTATGATGGTATGATTGTTCACAGATTCTGACTGCAAGGAGATTGAGTGATATTAGTCACCTTTAGATTCTTTCTTTCTTTCTTCCGTTCTTTCTTTCTTTCTGTTCATCCAAACTCATGGATGGAAGACCTGAACCACAATGTGGAATATATATATATATATATATATACACAGTCATGGCCATAAGTTTTGGGAGTGACATCTTTTTTG